CGCCATTGAATGTGATGCATGTGTAAAAAAAATCTATATTAAAACTGTGGTTAATTTCAGCTGCGATGCTTTAAGCTCGGTCTTAAATGACGCGAACGCTTCTTGGTGGTACTGAACCCTTATTGTGCAGCCACTTGATGCCGCTTGTTCATCGCACAAAGTCACATAAAAGGACTGAATTACAATGTTTTAAAAAAATATATTTGCATATGCAAATAGGAGGAACCAAACATAAGCACATGTTGTTGATATGGCTCTAGGATGTAGAACTATCTTTATGTTAATGTCAGCAGACAGGGAATATTCTTTTGAAAATACAGTACGTTTTTCATGGGGATCATTATCTACACTGTGTGTCACTGTGTCTCGGCTAAAAGAAATGATTAGATTACGTCCCAGCAATCCCCTCTGGGGCGATTTGTGTGTGACTGTGGGCGACCTTACAATATGTTGCTTCAGTGTCCTTTGAAGACACTTCAATAACATTTCAAAAGGTTTCATGGACAAATATAGGATGTCTTCTATCTCTGAACTGACGCCTTGTGGATCCCGGGCTCCCAAACTCCACTGAATGTTCCTCTCGTGGGGTATAAAATACTAATAGAATTACCACGTGGCCAAAGATAAGAGTTTAATGTGAGAGGTCATCTCTGTATAACAATCACTATAAAGACTGGATGGTATAAAAGTTTCCAGTGGTTCCAGAAAATTTGCTGATTAAATGTGACAACATGTGTTGTAAGTACAAAAGCAGGTGGAAATGATTCAGCGATGAAAAGCCTCGGTCATTAGACGTCGGCCCTTTGCTTCCCTCCAATGAGGACGTGTGAATTCAGCAAACCGGCCGAAATGTTAGCGGTTAAAAAGGAAATCACAGTTAATTAAAGCTGTAAATTGTGCGCATGGAATTAGAGGTTCAGTCATAATTCTTAAAACCAGGTGGATCCAGACAAATATCGATTCAATTGAATCCATACTCTACTCTGTACTTTATATTACTGCATGTTGGGAGCAAAAGCCATTAGTGGTCACTGCTGGTTGCTCGCTTTTACGGCGCATCCGATTGCCCACATCTAAGAAATCAATGCGCGAGCGCTCAGCTGATTTCTGCCCTTTTGTAGCTCAGAGGCCGCGGCACTCATTGTGTCGCGTCATTGAGAGGTGAGGTCCAGATCCGGGCGTCTCTGGGGGTCCCGGCCCATCTTTTCTACTCAGGCGGGCAGACAATAAAGCCGGCACGCCTACAATCGGCCCGATAAGAGCTCGGATGTTGAGCCAGAAGCGAGCATCTGAACAATGGTAACAGGTGTGTAAAAACGCGTGCTTTGATAATGACCTTGGTGGCCGTAATAGCACGTCTAGACACAACTAACGGGAGGCCTCTCCGTCTGGCCCCCCCGCGGGTCCCGTGGGTGCTGCAGAGCAGCATCCTCAGGCGCGTATCCGAGGGTTTGGCATTAGAATTAAACGTGTGAGGTGATGTAGCGTACACATTCATTCTTCTCAAAGTTAAGTCTGCCACTCAACAGGGCCCTCCCCCCCCCTCCCGCGTCTTTAAAATATTTGTTGGGTAGTTTGCATAACACGCTAAAATCATCTTGAGTATTCAGAGATATGCACTTGAATAAATAGGAAAAGAAGTCCATTAATGGCTTGCAGTGTTTGATTGCAGCAGACACAAGAAGCTTGCTGACATGAACTAAAATGCAAATGTCTGTGGAGCAAAACAAAGAAATTGATTATGAAGTTAGTTTCTTCAGCACAAGTAGCCGGCTTTGAGTGATTAATGGGGCTGGGTCATTGATTTCCTTTTGTTTTGATCTTGGTTAACTTTCCCGGAGACACAATTATAATTTATTTCCAAACAATAAATCCAATCTAGCTCGAGCAAATTAAATGTCCCTATGGCCTCTTCTGGGTCATTTGACATCTGAAATGGATTGTTATCAAAAGGCACTGCGTGTAAATGTTAGTTTCTTTTTGTCGGCGTTTGTTAGATTTCTGATTGGACATTGTTTCTGTGAGCGTATTAGAAGGTGAGCGCCTCCTCCGATTAAAAACAGCCGTTAGTGGAGATTTGCACGACTCGTTGGCCGCGGTCCCGACCGTTAATCTCTCGTGTTTTCCGGTGAGACGTCTACACTCAGCCGAGAAATACCGTCGACTTTGTCTCAAACGTGACAACATAGTGTGCGTTTGTTGAGCGGGCCCGCATTGTCTGTTTGCACACTGGCTTTGCTAAAGGTTGGTGAAATGTTTTTTTTTGAGTCATTGTCACAATGTACTTTATATTTCTGTGTATTTGCAAGTCAAATTGTAGTGTCACAGGCGACTTTATTCAAAGGCTTTTTCCGCATCCTTCAGCTTTACAACTTTGAAAAGTTGCACAGATCCAGACATGTACACTTCCTGATTTCTCGCCTCATCTCTCCAAGATAGTGATAATACGATTTCTGTGTTTTTCGCTGTTGAGAAACAAACTGGATTATGAACAGATCACTACATAAACAGCTTTCTAAAAGGAGGCAGCTATTTTAAAAAGGGCTGAAGAAATGCAAAGAGGGATTTAAATTTTAATTTGAATTTATTCCAGCAAGTGAAAGGTTCTTTTGAGAGGGGATTTCAGCAAAGATGATGGTATTTAAAAGTGATAAACAAGCATCTAAACCTCCAGTGGAAAACAGTCATTTTGCTCCTTTCTAGTGCAGGGGGGGGGGGGATGGGCTTCCTATGGTCACATCCAAAAAATAAGAATAAGTAATAGTAGTAATTAAAATGTAAATAAGCAATACCCACAGAGATGTTTCAACAGATTCCTGTCATAAATTGTGTAATTAACATTTTGTCCTGACACACCTTGTGAGATGGATGTACAGCTACGTGTCCTATAGCTATGAGTGCACGTTGGTGTTGTGTGCACTTAAAGAAATCTTCCACACTCATCACATGCAATTTAAATCCTGTGTGCGCGGCAGCGGAGACGAACATCGGGCTAAAGTTAAAAAACCAAATGCCTCACAAACGAGGACTTGTGTTGGTTGAGGGCTGTTTGTTGTTGCATCTGTGAAATCTAGTGAATTTAGCGATTCACTCTGCGCAGTCACGCGTCACATTCATGTGACAAAGGATGACTAACCGCGGCTGTCATCTACCGTATTTATAATATATGGATTATAGTGATGTGACTGGATGTTCAAGTGCCTCCATTCTCCTGTGGATGACCACTGCACTTAAGCAGAGGAACCTGTGCCACACAAGAAAGACAAAGACTTACATCATTTTGTTCAACAGTTAATCCGATCACGGACTGTGTTTGTGCATTTGCTATCTTCGGAAAATGGCAGCAAAGGCGCTAAGTAAACCTATTTTACAAGACTCCCTCACAAGGACACAGTGCCAGTATCGGGATAAAATTTCACACAGCGGCACGGCTCAGTCACATAACCTAAGCAGGCTTAGGAGAACGCAACTATAAAGTATTGCACTTTCTTCCGGCGTGTCTGTTGCAGCGAACAAAATGCTCGGATGGCTGATGTGAGTTTGAGCATGAAAGCCAAAGTGAACTAATGGCTGAATAGCATGTAGATACTGTTGCTAATGCTCCGAGTTGTTTAAAATGGTAGATTATGGAAGTGTGCACCTGGCATTCTGCGGGCAAGCCTGGCAACACTCCTCCCTTATAATTATAATGAACACACAGTAATTCAGGGTTGAGGCTGAAATACGAATGCCGTCCTCTGAGACAGCTTGTTTTAATGGTTATGCAGAAGAGTTCCTAGAAGTGCAGATGGCAGATGCGCTGCCTTTTAAGCTATTTACGGACCGCACGCTGCAAGGTATGGAAAGACCCACAGTGTGAGGCCGTACTGCTCTGTTGTGCGCTTGGATTAGACATTAGACGGGCTCACAGACCAATGAAAGATGTGTTTTTTAGAGCATGCTTACTGCAGTATTGATACTGAGGACTGCATGGCTCGTTTCGTGTAAATACCCCACTGTTCTTACCTCGGCCACATAGGGGTGCATTCGCTCAGGACTTGGGCCCGTGTGCGGTCTTCCATTACCGATTGTCAGAAGCCTAATTTCAGTATTCTGAGGATTGAAATCTATAAAACACCGCAGGCGACATTTTACGCGACACTGTATGTAATGGGCTGCAAATAAGATAAGAGCCAACAAAGGCAGGATTGATCAAATGATAGATGAAAGGTATATTTGTTAAAGCTGCTTTACTGCCCATAAACACTGAAGCACCTCCTCCAAGGTGATGTCCATATAAATGCTTTCAATGTAACGTACTAAACATGTAATTCTAAACTCAACAACACAAATGATTCGTTTTTGTCCAAATTTGTGCCTGTTTGTACCGATAAAAATATTCCACCCGCGTAGAATCGTTCTCTCTTTGCGTGGCACGGACCCAAGCATGTGTGAAAGCGTGCGGAGCCTCTGAATGATCCCACTGCTGTGATATTGAAACAACAAAAATGTTAACTCCAAGAAAAAGTTTTGCCGCGTTTAAGTCACACAGGAGCCGCATTAGCATGTGAAAGGAAATAAACAGAGGCTTTCTCGGTTACACACTCCACCTGGCTGCTGACCAACGTCCTTGTCAGAAGTCCACCCACCACACTGGCTAACAGTGAAAGACCTCCTGGGGGCCGCGGTGACCATTCACTCGCTTCTCTCTTTTTCACGTGCACCTGTGACTGTTTTTGTGTTTGCTATTTTTTGCTTTGTCTTTTTTTCCTGGCAGCGCTGTATCATCGGAGACACACTTTGCCTCAAAAGGAATTCTCCTGCCCAACAATGTGGTTTGTTTGTTCGGCGGATATGGCAGGGCCAGAGAGTCACACGCAGGAGGGGAAAAATGAAAAATGAAAAAAAGAAAAGAATGATAGCCGCCGCGGTAATAATTAAAAATTGCCACAGGAAAAACACCAGCGGAGAGACGCGGCGGCCACGAACGGACCGGAAATAAGAAAATCGGGTGCTTTTACCGGCTGGTTTCTTGCCGCGTCGGGGGGCTACACAGGTGCAGTTGGACAGGTTCTCCCCCTTACTCTCCTCGGACGGCTCATCCGGCTTCTCCACGGTCCTGGACCTTAGAGAGCCGCTTTCCCATTTTCCAAAGGACTTTGCCACAATCGCTTTGTCCGCTCCTTTCATTGTTTTCTGTAAAACACATTTACAGCATGACTTCCCAGGTTTATCCCTCTTGTGAGCCATCTGCCCCCTTTTTTGGCTCTCAATAAACCTGGGCTCATCTTTTCCAAACCCAAAGTAAGGGAGAATTAGGGCATTGTGTGCATATGCATTCTCTTAAGCATTCCAGAAAAATGTCCTGATTGCCCTGGCATCTTTTTTTAGAGAGCGCTTGGACATTGTTTCCCTCCTGACATTTTGCAATCCTGCACGCAGAGAGCGGTGCCGATTGAAACAGTATAAAACAATACTTTTGCAAAGTGCCCCCACAGTAAACGGTAGACGGCAACCGGGAAAAAACAACAACACGTTTTCACATTTAATCCAACTTAAAGGAAATAAAAATAGCACATTATGCCCTAATTGAGTGCTGTACCGTCCGCAAATACTATTACAAGGCCGATCGGGATTAGCAGTGGAACACACCTAGTTATCTATCTCTCCGAGTGCCAAGACTGCTAGCAGTGGGCAACTAAATTTCAAAAGCTGGCAAATCCAGTTGTCTCCTAAATACAGAAAGTACTTAAATCCAGAGCTAACAGAAGAAAAAGACGGATAAAGGGTGCTCTGCATATCACCGAAAAGCTTGTGCACTTTTCAGAATCACTGGCTAGGTTAAACAAATATGCTAAGTAGAGATCAAAACAATCCTTTGATCTGCAGCCTAGTTTCCAGAGGAATGGCTTGGCTGTTGTTGTAAATAACTTGTATAAATCTATATACCATTTGCCTTCAGGTAATATCAAAAGTGCCAGGGATTCGCAGGCAAATACCTTGTCGGTTAGGAAATAGATCAGATAAAAGCATATAAATATTTCAGCAACCCTTGCTCAGTCACTTTGTGTATTATGGCAGAGTTTTTAACCCGGCACGAGTTCGGCTCTACAGCAGAATGTTTGATCGCAGAATTACATTCTAGCCCTTTTCTATTCGGTAGTTGGGAAAAGTGTTCCTACCTCCAGCGCGCCATTCAGGTCAGTCACAGCGTAAAACATTGTGCTAAACTTCATACAAAAGAGGCTTGAAGAATCAGAATGCAGAAGCAATGCAACTTGCTGACTAACTTTGCCCTCTGTTTTGATCGAGCGCACAAAGAGAAACGCTGTCCATTCAAAACAGACAGCATAACTCTTTTCAGAGAGGGGGGACGGTGAACAAACGAGGCCATGTCCTGGGTCGGTTTCCTGCACGCAGCGCGGTGAGGGCCGCGGGGACGGGGACCGGCTGACACCGCGCTCACGGCCAACAGAACTACTTTTGTGCGCGCTGTCCTCCGCTGGGTGGTTTTTTTCATTTTCCTCTCTGGCCGTGATTCCTAAACCTGGATTTGGTATCCGGTTGGATTCCCCCGGGAGACTCATGTGAGGGCGAGATGATGCTCCTTCAAAGCGCTCTAGATCACATCCGCGGTTCTCACAAATGCTACTGTCCAAATTCAATCATTTCTCCCGTAATACCAATGTTAGCTAATGCCAACCAATCGTGACCCAAAAGACACACTAATTTCATTCGGAAGCATTTGACACGTTCAACATTCAATTTGTAGATATTAAAACTTGAAAAAAAAAAATTGGCAAAAACTACAAAAAAAAATTGCCATTTAAGTTAAATTCAATTTGACTGAGCTGAAAAACATAAATTGTGATGCTACGTAGAACCTTTGCTTTCCAGGGTCACGGTTCCTTAACACATTAGCTCGCTAACTAGCTTCATTTTCAACTAAACGTCGTCGTCTCCAGAGCTGTTTTAACCAAACTGTACAAGATTAGTGAAATTAGGCTCTACTGACAGAAAAAGGCAGTTTGAAAATAGGTTTTGTTTTCGTTTCATAAAAAAAAACACAGTCATGTAGGATACACTTTAGCACCAGGCTAAGCTAGCATCCCTTCCTCCCACTCAACCAAGAATACAATGAAATGTACTGTCATTTCAAATTACATTTTTATATATATTATTTTTTGAGAACGCTATTAAATAACTAAATATATTCGGTTCTCCTTCATTGCCAACAGGCTAAACAAGCTAACATAGCAGACAATGCTTCAACCTGCTTATTCATACGTTTAGAGCACAGACCGGCTGTTTAAATGACTAACTAACTTTTTAAATGTCATGATGTGGAATTTCACATACATTGTGACTCTGGTGAACTTGGCAGAGCTGCATACTTGTACGCTCGGGTTTCTCATAATTCACAAGATACATTTCATTGGCAAACGCTCCGTTCACTCCATCCAATCCATTTCTCCATTTCGCTCTCAACATTTGCTGAATGTTTCTTGAGGAATGTTTTTAAAACAGTTTGAAACAGTCGACTTCGTGCCTTTGAGTCACAATCTCACTGCGATGCCGCATGTGAATGCGCATTTAGTGCCGGAGTGCCGAGTGACTGCGTGTCAACTAGTTTTTCGCCAAGTTTGGTAAGAAAGAAAACGCATCTGAAAAGCTTTCCGGTTTAAAATGAAAAGTCACGCGAATCACAGGGACGGGACGGGGTTTGAAATATTGCATCATTTCCTCAACACAAACATGGATGTTTTACACCTGGTGAGTCTTTCAAATCACAAATAAAACCCTCATCCCGTGTGTTTTGAAGGATATCATGGGAGCTTCATCGAGCGATTTTGAGAGAGAACAGAATGTACCATATTCTTGACCCGTCTGCCTCAGATGCTTGCGGTATATGGAACTGAATACTGGACGTGAATTGTATCGTTCTCTGTGTCAACTTGTTAGATGGCAGTTGCTGTAGTGGAGTGGTGAGAGCGGCACATATGCATTATAGGAGAAAATTGTGAAATGACAGATTCCGGGTGTGATACTGAGGGAATGACTAACTAATAGGAGGGGTGCTCCAGGCTGTTAGCTTTGAAAAGCAGTTTGCACATTACTTTATCTTGTCAATCAGATTCCTGGAATGGAAGAGGTGACGGATAACTTGAATTAATTATTTTCTTATTGCATGCATGTGTTAATTCATGTTAATTTATGTCCCTTACAGGGCCAAGCCAGAATATCCCGAGTAAAGCACCACCTCTGGCACCCAGATCACCACACCACTCTCTTTGCATATATTTATATCAAATGAAAGACTTTTTTTTAATCCTGTTGGAACAAGGACTGACTGCCAAATTTGATTTTTAAATGTACTTTTAAGCTGTTCATGGTTTACGTTTGCATTTCTTCTTAACAAGTGAACAACACGGAGCAGTATTTACGGCTATGATGGGATTTTAAAGTTACAGATTATTTTTCACAAGTAAATCCTTCCCCTTAAAACATCCCCCTTTTTCTCACAAACACAGATAAATAATGTCGCACCAGGTCAGAACTCACAATGTAGACCTGGAGTGAATTTTTAAATCGTTAAATTTTTTTTTTTTTAGCCAAAGCAAGGTTTGCATTCACAAATATATACAGCCTTTAATTCATTATTATTTTACTTATATTTAATAAAAATCAAGCGTTCCGTTGGAGGCACAGCGCTCACTTTAAACCCATTTCACCAAACATCCTTAAACATTTTGACAAATTTAACTTCCCCTGAACACGGAGGATGAGAGGAAAAACATTTCTCTGATGAGAACAGAAACAGCAAGAAGTTCTAACAAGGAAAAGCCTGCCAGGTGGCGAACTGGCTGCACCAACAGAACGCACAATCTGTCTGCTTCTCCTTCCAAACCATTGACAGCTGCCATCACCAGCCTCGCACACTCGCACTCAGTGGCTCCTCAGCTCCCTGCCCATCCCTCTTTAGTGTTTCCTGCTAACCTCAGAGACAGGGTCACCTGGCCCCCATAGTCGCCCGTCTGTGGGGCCCTGCTGGCCCCCTGGAGACCTGCCTGCATGGGGATGCGCGGCTAACGGAGGTCCACCAAATGCGCTTTAATATGCAAACCAAGGGGCCGTTCCTTTGACCCCGGGACCGCGGCTTTTCTAACGGCGAAATCCCCCCCCCCAAAAAAAAAGATTCAAGCGATGTACGGCGGTGACATTTTGATGAGCGCTTTTTTTTTTTTTTTTTTTGATCTGCTGGTTATTTGATATCGAATGTTTATCAGATACAAACGGCAGCGTGATCAGGTATTTTTTCTCAGCCGGTTGTTACAGTTTAATTAAACTAACATGCAGCACGATTGAATCAGACGGCTTCTGCTCGACCCGCTTGGAAGAATAATAATCTGCCGTTTAACATTTGTGTAAAACTGGAACGTCGTTTTCTCCACTGAGTAAAACCTCAGCACACAGATGCACAGAGGCTAAAACCAAGAGTGTCTCACAAAGCCAGCGTTGCAACCGGGCTAAAAATAAAACCTGGCAAAGTTATTCTGATCCCTTATTGGTCCCATAGTTTGATTTCACATTTAGCATTTGCATTCCCCTCCGCATAAACATTTAATTCTTCTCCCTCCCGCAGTACAATGAGACTTGAGTGACTTTGGCAGCAGATTTTGGATCGGTGCTCCTGAATCCACCAGTGTATGTTATCAGCAGGTAAACAAGCTTTCCAACAAAGCCATAATGGAACTGCAAGCGGCATAAAGAGGCTCATCTCAAAAGCTATACAACCCATCAAAGCTGGTGTCATTTCCTCAACACTGCACTGCAGCTGGAAAAACTGCACGGCTGTTAGTTACAGTTTTAAATCGCCCGTCTATTTTCAGACACTTCAGAACTATTTGTATTGATTGTTTACTTGTCAGTAAGCGGCATTAGCGGAACAAGACAACAGATTTTTAATGTTTACTGGATTCTTATCCGTTTTGTTCTCTGGTGGAAAATCAAAAACAGTCATGCACTATATTAATGGGATTTGCACTATAGGGTATTTGAATAATTATATTCCACTGAAAATGCAATAGTTGTATCTATATTGGGAGCGGGATTAGGGATGGAATTGAACTTAACGTGAAAATCATTTTTCCTTTTTTAAATACGTAGTTCAGTTACATCCTCCACTTCCTGCCTCGGCAGATGCAATCTTGTTACCCACACGCCTGGATGCCTGTCACCCAACTTTGCCCATATTTGCCTTTTGGGTACAGCTCAGATGCACAACTAAACCTACGCACTCTCCTCCCAGTGAGTGGAGAAGCCTCAAAGCCTTCCTTTCATATGCTGCATTATCTCTTTGGCGGTAATTATCCATAAAACTATGCCATCAGATGGTGATGATTTCCAATATGAACCCAATAAATGTGTTTAAAATTTGAATTATCATATTTATGTGGATATGTGTTACTAATAGTGATTATGCTCGTCATGTGGGTAGAAAATCAACCATCCTTATATTGCGCGTTCGCACATATTTCTCAGACATTTCATCACACATTTAATCTTCCCCTGTCTAAGATTTCCTTCTGAACCTGTAGTCAAGGCACAGAGGAGACAATAACGGATGAGATTATGAAGCATGTCTGTTAAAGCACGTCTGTTTGATCGTCGCTCTGTTTAGGTGAAGTTCTCTTCTTGGTGTCTTCAGTCGCTGACAGCAGATATATAACCTAATCTCTTCCCATAACCCTTTTCTTAGGCATGAATAGGGTGGAAATGTGATGGCATTAAGTCGATTTACTCCTTGGTTTGCAGTTTCAGCCTTAATGCCTCTTGGCTCTTGTTCAGCACTCTCGTTCCATTTAGATTTCAGAAATATAAATGTTGTGTTAAGGCCTTTCCCATTTATTTTCATTTATCCATCATTTGAAGTTCATGCATATATTTACCCTACAAATAATGCTTGTTTATTTGCAGCTCCGTCTATCTAGTGTCAGAGATATTGGAAAATCAAATACAACTTGTGTATTATCTTCAAATACAGACGATATCGGTGACAAAGGGCAAGATCTGAGGATGTATGACAGCCTTTGTGAGGTGTCCCTGACATCGTTTTGAGATTTCACATTTACTCATCTAAACCTTCATTTGGTGCCTCCAGCCTGTGTTGACATGCAAAGAAAAGCCATAATAAGGCGTCTTTGGAATCCGGCTGATGGCATTTGAAAGCGGCATTGAGATACCTGTCCTAATATATAATTATTGGAATACGTTTGTTATGAATTAATGCTTTTTTTTTACATGAGAAAGTTCAGGTTACCTTTAAACTGTTTGCATGGTCGTGATGGAAGAGATTCATTTGAAGATAAAGTCAGTGTGAAGCTGCGTTACATCTTAGGGGTCTTTCAGGACTTTACTATTATCCGTTATCCTAAAGTCTGCAGCACTATCAACTCTATGGGGAGGGCATCAATATAATGTGTAATTTAATATTGTTTTGTCCACTAGAACAGGTTTTAATACTCTGCTGTTACGATGCTTCAACAAAATAAGTCCACTCAATTAAATTGTCCCTGAAATCTTTAATAAAAAGCTTATATAATGTGATTTAAATAACATGTTTCCATGTGTATATTTGCACGCCATAGATGGTTTAACGTAATGTAATACATGTGTATTTGACATATATGTCTAACATTATATATATATAAATATATTATACCAATCCAAATTTTTGTGGCTTACTAATTTTTTTTTTTTGTATTTCCTAGAAAACACAACAATTATTTTTTTTACTTAAAACAGAAAAATTAAGAGGTTTTCACTGTTGTAACTTTTACTGTTAAATTAGGTCATTATATTTTGACAAAATATTTAATCAAAAGTAATTATTACAATGAGATTTAGACCTGATTGAAAGTTAAAGCTACGCGTGCAGCTTAACAACGGCCACTTTTCCGCGACTGAAGAAACGTGGTCAAGTGCCACAGAAATAAGTTTGTCAGCGAGTAAAAGGCAGTTTAATTGGTGGAACTAGCTGCAGGCTACACATGGCAGCGTTATATCCCATTCAGCCTGATGAGAGTGACTCCCAGCAGCACTGAGCTCAGTGGGGGGTTGTAAACATTTACACTAAGAGCCTGTCCAGTGCACATGGCTGGTGCTTGCCAGCCACCTCGGTATCGAATGTTGTGTTGCATATTTTGTCATTCAGGCCTGTCCCGAAATTGTAGGAATCACACCATCAATTTACGAAGGAGCCGTCCAAATGTGACAACGGGCTTATGCTAAATGGAGAAAATAGAGCTAAACATTGTTAAAACACCCCTAGACCCACATGGTAGAGAGTGCTCGGCAGAGAGCTGCTATGCTCCCCGCTGTGAACTGGGAAAGTGATGTTGGTGGGCTTCCTTCTCCATGAGGGCCGCATCGTTCTTGGGCCCCGATTTGAAGCCTTTTTGAAGTCTGTTTCCTGCTGCAGGATGCCAACATTAATGTTCCCACAAAAGAAAAAAAAACCTTAAATCAAATGAATACGCTATAGTGCTATACCGCACTGACTCCGGAGACATTAAAGCACCGTTAAAACGCTTTTCTTATTATTATTTTATTATTATTATTCTATACGTCCTAAAAGCTACTACAGTGTTTATTTTATTTCATAAAAAACAACTTTTGATAAATTGGTTCCTCATTTTAATGCAGAAATGTCCGCAGGAGGGAGGTTTTTTTTTTTTACTTTTCACCCTTTCATGATTACAGAGACGAGCTCAACAGCATCATCTACATTGTTTTTATCATTATTCTCAAATGTGGAACAACAATAATTGGCCCAAAAAGAAACCTCAGAGTCCGTTTGGGATCAATCCTTTATTGTTTCAAAACTCTATCTTTTACAATACAGTCATTTTTTGTTACATGTGTGATTTGATGGGTAATGTACAATGTCGTCCAATAATGAAACAGTCAACGAATTTCTTTCTACATATCGATGATCTATGATAGTGAGAAGTTTGTGCCGATATACCTTCTTAGTTCAGACAGCTCAGTTAAACTTCCCTTTTCGAATCGACAAAAGCATTGTTTTTGAAAGTGCATTTCAAGGATTGCAAAGACGACTGTTTCCATAAGTCAGCCATAGTGTACATCTCAGTATTGACGCAGGGCCACACTGCTTTGTGAGTAACAAACAGCATTAACTACGTTTCCAACTACAACATTTATCTGGATAAGTAAATCAAAGAAAATATATCAATATGCATGCCGTGAACATTCCTCCATAAACATTTATAATAAATGTATATTTGTAGTTGTTATGTTGATATTGACACAGTATTTTCCACAAAAGGACAAATGCTGATAATGAGAACCAATATTTAACATCCAAATTTGGTTTAACTTTACACACAGGTCAGGTGGCATAAAGCCACATTAGAGCAATGCCCTAAATGAGTTAATAGCAATTGGTCCACAATAACATATCTGGGTTTAAAAGGAAACTAAAATGTGGTAGCAGGTGAGTTATTGAACTGAAACCAAAAATAGCATCATGACTATCTTAAATTCTTTAAATATTTAAGGTCTTTTGATTTTCAAGTTATGAGTTATAGTGTGAAGCTCCTGTTCAAAAATTAAGCAATATAAATATACATTTTTCGCTCATTACTTGGCTATCATACTTTTCTGTTCCATGGAACAGCTTTCACTCTGTAGAACTTGGTTCCTAAAGGAACCTTGAACCTGTTCTGTGCCTGGGGAAGGAAAGGAGACAAGGAAACAAAGCCGTTGTGAGAAGATGGTTCAAAGCGGCTTCACTGACACAAATCAACACGTCAAAAAATGAATCCAAACCATGTGTGGACATTGTCACAAATACATACATTTGTGAGCCTACTGGTTCTTACATGTTCATTTAGAGCACACGTTAGTGGTTTGAATTCAGTACCTTTTTTGCCTGACAATATTCCTTCTCCATCACCTTTCCAAGTACCCACGGCCGTCTTGACGTCCCTGATGCTGAAAAACAAAAGAAAAGCCACCTGTTAAGCAAAAGCGACTCTGGGAAAACCACAAATAAATTGCACTTATTAAGAAAACGGGACTTCTACATCATCATTTCATCAGTAAATAAAGAAACACAGGTGTCCAAAGTAGAGTGTCTGACCTGGTTTGAGGTCCAGTGCAGAGAGAGACTCTGAGTGCAGGAAGTAGAGGGTGGGGCCGACTGTGAACAGCACGTAATTGTCGTGCCTTTCATCCAGGATGATTAGAACCAAATCGCCTACCTGGAAACTACAAAACAAAGACACACAGAAGCATTAGCAGGACTTCTTCCAACTAATGACATAAAAAGGAAAATTACTGTAGTGGTACAATAATGTGTGTGATTACGCTCCGTGTCTTGATGGCGAGAGTTTGATCTCCAAACAAAAACAGCCGCTAACAAATACAGCGTGGACATGCGTTGGGTTTTTTTTAACCATCCACTTACTCTCTGATGGCGATTTTGTCTGAATGCCGTGACGACACAGACGACATGCTCTGAGACATCTGCAAAGACGAGGATTAGGGAAACGTTACACGTGTAACACCGAGGTGCAGCGCTCACACTCGTCTCACTGGGCTTCGTAAATAGCATTAGCATCCCTGGCCTGTTGACTACGGCATTAAACGCATCAATCAATTGGATCTCATGCGAATTCAAAAAATGTCATTTTCACTTGTTTTTTTTTTTTAAATCCATCCCTCTTGTCTTTGTAATGTCACTCTTCCTTAAAAATCTCTTTCCCCTCGCTGAGCTCTTTGGCCTCCCGGGTCAGGGTTTTACTCTTTGATGCTACTGCCCCCCAGTGGAGCGGGTGGGACATGGCCCACAGAGGTAATATGAAACAACTGACCAGTCTTTGACTGAGCCGCTTGTTTTCTTCTTCCTTCATGTGTAAAGTCTGAAACGTATATATCGGATGCATTAAACCGATGAGACATCCAGAAAACTGCACATTTTTCCATCGATTTGATTGCGTTTCTATTTACCCTCTCGAGGAGGAGTATCCGCTGCTTCTCCTCCGACATCGGGGTGCTGTCACTACGGGAGAGAAAACAAATCACTGACCGGCGTCCTCTGAGCAATGTAAAAACTGTCGGCGTTGTGGAGAAAAAGGAAAATTGATCAACATATGAATTGATTTTCATTGTTAGTCGCTGGACTATTTATTAGTTATTCATTTGTAGAGTGATGAATAGAAAACTTACACTGTCTGATCAAAGCCTGCCTGCCTGCCATCCTTCTTTCCTTCATTGCTTCCTTCACTGCTGCTTGCTTTCTTTGCTTCCTTCCTCGTCAATGTCCCTTCTGTCCATCCGTTGTTGGGATATTTTACACAATGTCCTTTTAAATGCTTCTCTAATATCAAGAAGTGCCTTTCCGTCAGCTCGCTGGCAACCAAACCAATTTCATCCCAACAAAAGGCTTGATGCTGTTGCACGTTGGCTCTGGATGAACTGCATCTAACAAACTCATTGTTGCGTGAATCTATCGAAGCTCGTATCCTAAGGAGGACATAGTCCAACGTGACAGCTGTCGATTTGGTCTTAATAAACTAATTTCTTGTAAAAACCACATTGTTACGATGCAGGAAATATATTCTTAACCTCTGAATGGACTAAATATCTCTAGTGACATTTTCAAATGAGGTTTCGCGGTTGGTCGGCTGAGCACAATGACGTGGCAGCACAGTATTAGATGACCTCTCGTCTGAAGACGACAACTCATTGTTTTTATTCAGTGGTGTTCAGCACTGATTCGATTTGATGGAGATTGAAGCTTTGTGTATTTGCATAGTGTGTGTGTGTGTGTGTGTGTGCACTGAAATCGAAAGATTATTCACACTGGCACAATAAATAAATAAATAAGAAAGAGATTGTGAGTTTCTCAGAATTTCCTCTCTGAACCACAGAAATTCTCCCCATAAGAAACAACAACCTCCCCTTCTTGTCCCATATTTGTGGACAGTAACTCGTACTTTGTCAACCTCGGTTCAAACATAAGAGGTGGAGCAGGGCAAACACACCGCCCTGCAGGAGGCACGTAGAGAGACCACAACCACCACATTATAAAACCAGCAACGCGAGTGGAGAAAAAGCTGCTTACTGGACAGTCACCAGGCTGGCTTCCACCGCCGAGTCCACCTGCTCGTCATCTCGAATGGCCGCCACGGAGGCCAGCCTGTCGGTTTCAGGCCCGGGGTCGGAGGGAAAAGGCCCGGCTAGCGGCAGCGGCGCCCGGGCCGCCGCCCCGGCCGGCGAGACCTCCAGAGCCGAGGGGTTCGGAGCGAAGAAGGCAGACGAGATCAGGGCGGCGCCGCGCAGCCGGTTCAGCTCCTCCTCCAAGTGTTTCTTCTCCTGCATGACGCTGGCTCGGTCCTCGGAGAGAGTCTCGATCAGCGCTGCAACAAGGAGCGTCATGTCAATCTATCGAGCAACACAGTGGCTGTCGGAACGATTAGCGGTTCTATTCCGGGGAAGCTGAAGAACTGATTAAGGGAACGACTAGTTGTTTGAAATAGATCTTTGTGATATTTGGTGGACAGTCCTCACCTTTGTCCTTCTCCTGCTGCTGGGTAACTGCCCGCCACTTCTCTGTCAGCTCGTTGATGATGTGCTCTTTCTTCAGCTTCTCTCGGGTTAGAACAGTGTTGAAATTAGTCTAGAACCACAGAAGAAGAAAAAACATTTTGCATTTTAAAAAGGTTTACAACCATTTTTTGGTTGTAATTCATGTCAAAGCACAAATGATAGGAGAGAATGCATTTTAATTACTAAAGGTCCAACAATGCAAATCAGCTTGCAGCCAAGGGAGTTGCAATTGTTTAGTTGGTTTTCGTTTAATTTTCCTTTGTATTGTTCCAGGTCTGATCCCTTCAGCATTTGTTATGCTGAGTGACAAAATAACACAATTGAAATGCAGGTTTGTGAGCTTAACTGATGTTTCAAATTAGAGTAAGTTCAGCTTGATTATGAAATATTTTGTGCAAATCGAAAGTCTTGTTAGCTTAAACTATGATGAGTACAGGCGGAAAACAAATGACTGAAAGTAACAAGAGAGCAAAAACGAAATCTTGCTGCAGTCCCTCGGGATCTTTTGTTGTAGACGAGGGAAAGATCAAGTCAGTCCAATGAATGAAAGATCGATCTGTTGATGTCTACGGCTTGACTTTAAATGTAATGCAAGCTGCAGAGTGCCAGCGTCAACATACATTCAACTTTAAGGTTTTCACAAAAGCAAGTTCTCACTTGTTTTAGGCATATTAAACTGCCATTATTAGTGGCATTAGTGTGTCAGTAATTATTCCAGCGACCTTCTGCTATCACCCCACCAACCTGCTGCTCTGCGATTAGCGACGTCTTGAGGTTCTGCATCTCCTCGTTCTTCCTTTTCTCCAGGAGGTCCATCTGGGACTGCAGGCTGGCCCTCTCCTGCTGCAGCCGCTCCTGCAGTGCCGAGTCTAGAGACAGCGGCGCTGCGGCGTCGGCACGCCCCTCGGCATGCAGCGACAGCCCTTCATCACTGAGAGGCACACAGACCCAAAGTAATGCACAACGTGGACAAACAAGCTCGCGCGAGACAAACACAAAACAGTTCCGTTTCAATGGGAACAGATTCTATTTAAACAAACCACAGTCATTTGGAATCGGGCACGTAAACACAAAAAGGAAAAGCTAGATTTGTATCTGTAATCCGTCTGTCGTTGTGATCAAACATTCACCTTTTTGAGGATTGTCTCCCGTGAAGCTCCTCCTCAAGTTGTCTTATTCTGTCCAACAGCCTCGTCTCCACGTCCTCCTTCTGCTGCTCCAACGCTTTAAAAGCGTCTGCCGACGCAACCTTAGAGGCCGCCTCTTCTTCTGAATCTCTCTCCGTCGCTTGTCGGTCCTGCTCTACTTTCTTGGAGAGCAGGTCGTTATCTGCCTGCAGTTGGCTGATAACAGTCCTCAATTCGGACTCCAGTTCCTGGGAACTCCGGAGCTGCTTCTCTTGCTCTTCCTTTAGAGCAGCCACTTGAAGGTCGAAAGCCTGCTCGACTTTCTGCTGCTGGTCGGCGTGGTTCTCATCGGCATTCTGGGCCAGCCGCTGCAGGGAGGCGAGCTGGTTCCGCAGGGAAGTGGCCTCCTCCTCGTGTGTGTCCACCAGCTCCGAGATGCAGTTGTCCTTCTCGATCCTCATGAGACTCCTCAGCTCTGCCAGGTCCACTTCACACTCCTCGTTCTTCACATCGAGCTGTTTTTTGACATCCGCCAGCTCTTGGCTGAGGACTTTGGTCGCTGCCTCCACCAGGGACTCCACAGCCTCGGCCTGCTGCATCTGGGCCTCCTCAAATAAGAGCCTCACCTCCTCTGCCTCGGACTCTTTGAGGGCTAACTCCACCTCTACTTTGCAGCGGAGTTCTGCAAGCTCAGTAATACGAGCCTCCATGTCCTTAATTTGGCTTTCCTTCTCTTTAAGTGCAGCGGCGTGGTGTTCGGCGGCCTCGCTTAACTTTGCGCTATTTTCAGCAGCCAGATGTTCCGCGGCCCTCCGGTTATCCTGGTTAACGGTCTCCAGTTTCGCTGCATGTTCCTGCTTGAGCTTTTCCTCCATCTCCATCAAGTGAGACTGTTCCACAAGCTCCAACTCCTGCCGGATCTTCTGCTGGCCACGTTCAATCTCAAAGTGCAGATTCTCCAGCTGGCTGGTCAGAGAGTCCCTCGAGAGCGAGAGCGCCTTGATCTCTTGGCTTTGCTCGCCCATCACCTGCTCCAGGGTTTTGATCCTTTCCAGCTGGTCACTTTCCGTCTGGGCCCATCGCTCTTTCTCGTTCTCGAGCTGAGTGAGTTCTTTCTCTTTGCGCTCCATCAGCCCCTCCAGCTCCAGCATTGCGCGCTGGACATCTTTGACAATGTTCTGGTTTACTTGGTTTTCCTCCGTCAGCGTCTGAACCTGCGTCTCCAGCGGCTGCCGAAGGGAGAGAAGCTCGCTCTGATGCTGCTCCGTCAGCTCAGATTTCTGGGTCTGGCAGATGTTGTCCACGACGTTGCTCACCTCTGTGGTCAGATTTCTCAAAACGAAACCAAAGTCGTGTTGTTCTTTTAAAACCATGCCCCTCAAGTGATGGAGATCATCCTTCACGCTTCTGAAGTTTGAGTGGGACTCCTCCGCAGCGGATTGGTACTTGTCAATCACTTGTTTTAGCACAGTGATCCTCGAGTTCTCCCTCTCAAGTATTGTGGTGTCCTGCATGCGCTTGTTGTCGATAGCGTTAATGACGGAGGAATACAGCGACTCCACCATCATTTCGGGGCTAATGGGTTCGCTGATGGGGTTCGGAGAGGCCAAGTGCTCCTCAATCACAAACTCGTTGACAGCGGACATGAAGTCGGATTCGGGGCTCTCTGCTAGAGAATCCAGGTCCAGGGAGCCCTGGTGCAGCACCGGATCCATGTTCGGGTGGCCAATGGTTTCAAAGTCAAACGTTTGTGCGTCTATGCTGTCCGGGGACAAGTCCTCCAGCGGCGCGGGGGCGGGAACATGCAGTGGCTGGCTGCTGGGGCTCTGCAGGCTGAGAGAAGGCGGCGTTTTGGAGGACCTTGATGTCATGGTCCCGGTTATGCTTTCAGACTGAGGAGTCAACACCGTTGATCTCTGACTGAAGGAGGTCTGCAACGACAGGACAGATGAGGGGAGAGAAAATGCTTTTCCAAATAAATACATGAGGAAGGCTGTCATTGTATTTGTGTTCATCAAGCGCCCATTACCCTTTGTTCATTCAGCAGGTCAGTAATAGTTTGAGACATCTCATCCACACTCTGTGCAGCTTGGACCAGCTTGTGAAGCGTCTCTACGTGGCGATTTAAGGGCGTTAAGTCGCACATTGTGGGAACCCTGCAGAAAAAGATTATAAGGGACAACATTTGGGACAGAATTCAAAACTACTTCCCAACTTAAACAGCCTGCATCTCATGCTAGGGTTTGTGCACGGCGAAGCACCGCAGTCCTTCCTCTCACAGCACACACAGCACTATTGTTCACTTGTCAAACGTGTGCATTCACAAATCATACAGAAACAAGCTTGCCAGAGTATGTTATCATCAGCCATATTGGGACTCACATGAGGAAAGGCTGCACCTCGACAGGACAACAAGATTTCAAGTACTGCAGGTCATCAAGTGAGATGTCTGGAAGTTCGTCATCAAACCTTCTGGGCTTCCGTGTCTGCAAATGAGCAAGAGAAGAGACCCCTTAAAATACAGCTGAAATATAATACACGTGAATACAAACTTGGTCACGGTCTTGTTGAATTGTAACTTACACAAAAGGAGGTTGGAGGCCATGAATCGAGTCCTCGGAACAAACGATTTCTGAGGAAAGACTTCCCTGAAAGGAAATGAGTAAAAAGATCAAACCTCCGAACCCGCCTGGGATCTGTGTGTAATCTCAACATCACTCCGTGCTCTGAGGTGACTCCTCAAATCAGCTGACGCTTCAAAAGAAACTCACTGAAGAGTTTCCCAAAGGATTCCCTTTTGAACTTCTCCGCCTCGTACAGTCCTTTCCCGTCCTTCACAAGTGCATAAGCCCACTGAAAAGAATGATTTCAAATATATTACAGTAATAAGCGATGTCCACTTTTGATGCAACAAGGGAGTGTTACTGCTGCTTTGACAGAGAACAAACAGCCTGTCCAATAGAAGACGACAAAAATGAGCAAAATCTATTCTATTCCTCTTTGAATCAGTGTCTGAAAGACTGATCACTGTCCAACGAGGAAGGACGCATGCATGGAGCACGTACCTCTCTGTAGTGGCGCATAAACATCTTTCGCCTCACGACCTCCACCACAGCCAAGCAGTACATCTGTGGCACGGTGCTGAGGGCCTCCACCACCCTCACTCTTTCTATTAGCTCCGTCAGAAGTCGGAGTAGAGCCTGAAGCTTCTCCCCGTCCTGGTCTGCATGAAGCATCACGTAGCAGCACCATCTAATGTTAGAGGTGCAGACAGAGTTTTCCCATGTTTAAAACCAGCATCCCAAAATTGTGTGCAAGAGAGCAGGGAGCTATTTCAAATGTCTAAAAACACAAATTGAGGAAGAAGTGGTTTTCCGTCTTACTTAAGTCTGACTTGAAGGTTGTTTGCGAGTTCTTGTTTGGCAGTGGTGCATTTCTTCTTGATGTCCAACAGCTTCCTGTGGTTGTTCAGCATGATCATCAGCTGGTTGGTGTGACTCAAACACAAATCTGGCAGGACAGATGTGTCCTTCAGGTTTTCAGCCCGCTTCTGATTGGCCAGAAATCCCTGCGAGAGAGTACGTGAGCATGTGACCATACGCAGACACAGTCATGTTATGGTGTTTATCTCCCACAGACTCACTCCCACGTACCTGAGCAAGTTCTTTCTGCTCATTCACCAGCTTCTTACAGCTCGCAATCATTTGGTCTAGAGCATACAACCGGTCCTCAAGCCCCTTGATGGCTTTCATGTTTTGATTATCTAGCTTGGCAATTGTGTCACGACAATCTGTCAGGAAGGGTTGAATGATCCGAGGGTCGAGCTGAAAGAAACAATATTTCAGTGAAGAGGTGTGATATTGTAACAGCGCATTTAAAACACCATTTTGACATTGTCTATTTCATACATCGTCTGTGTCTCACCCTATTGATGGAGTCAAAGCATTTCCTCACGACCGATTCCACATCGTTGGGTCGGTCTTGCACGTTGATCCAGTCCAGTAGTGTGACATTGAAGCAGGACGGGTTGGTGAACTCCGGAGCATCATCCTCATCATCCAGCAGTGCAGCTCTCAGCCCACCACTGTCAGTCATTTCATTGGTTTCCTGGTCGCCAGATGGTTCAGATGTGGTCATCCCCGGAGCGGGGAAGGGTGCAGATGACTTGGAGGGCCTCTGTGTGTCAGCAGCGCAGAGCACAGAGTCGGTGGACTTTTCTTCTTCCGTCTCATCTGAATCTTTTCCTGGGGTTGAGCTTGACTTCTCCATGCTCTCTTTGTAACAGTGTCTTGTCAAACATTCCAGCAGAGGAATCCTCGCCATTACAGAAACTGATGTTCCTAGCCTGCAACCATGAGACGTTACGCCATTATAGTACAACATAAGAGAGATTAACTTACTATTACAGTGCTTTTAATGAGCGAATACTTTGATTAAATATGCGGCAGTAGCTACGGCGTCAACAAAGGCAATATGCAGAAATTACTTTAAGTTCAAAACTATTGGATAAGATTGGTAAAGTATAAAATAGCTTGTTCTATGTACCAAAACTTACTTGGAGAGTTTAACTTTAATTTCCTCCAAGTCGTGTGGATAGGTTACATACGAAGAATCAAATTTCATAAGCAACTTTTGATAAGAGAGAGTGCAGTCGTCCAGATTGGCCATTATGGCAGCCCAGCCTTGGTGTTGCAGGTGTTCATCATGAAGCAATCGTTCACAGAAAGAGCAAAGTTTTGTGGCAACTTCAAACATTTCCTACAGTGGCAAAAGAAAGAAAGAAAATCACACAAGTTAGGACGCAATGGTTCCATGTGTTTATCCCATAAAAAGGTTGTGCAATAAGAGGTCACTTTATAAAAATAATAACATAAATAAATGAGTAAGTACCAGAGCAAGTTGTGTTCGCGAGGCAACAGTGTGAAAGACAGCAGGCATCAGTAGAGACTCCTCTACTTTAACCTGGATCTCACTCTCAATAGAGAAGGTGGTTTTGGGGATCGTGGGATCCCGGTCACACAGGATCATCTCTTTGTTGAACAGGAATATGGGGTTTGTTTCCTAGAGGTCAACCGTAAAACAAGAGTAATGTGTCACAAATGCAACCCTTAATACTTTTAAGCCACATGAAAAGCACATTAATGCATTAAAAACTTACAGTGCCAGCACTGTAGCTGCAGACACGCCTCTCTGCAGCCATACATTCCCCTCCATTAACAACAAGGACTTGATGTTGAATTGCAATCTTATATTTGGCTTGGATGGCATGTTTAAGCTCCAGAACACTGAAACAAAGAAAGAATTTATTTAGATCACAAGAACCGAGATAATCTGACCACTGTTTTTCAGAGATATTGTTAAAATGACAGTTTCTTACGTCTGGACAGCAAGATCAGTATCAAATGTCAATGTGCTGCCATTGTTGACCTGGAACACATACAACTTCATGTTGAATCTCCCAGAGTTCTTTGCGTTTGCCTGTCTTCAAGGCCACCCTGTGGGAAGAAACACAAACATCAACAGGAGATATATTGATCATCTTTACATTTGCCCTGAGTTTGCCTACTATGATTAGATATGTTCCGGTGAGACGGTATACAGCCATTTGTCACTTTGTCTCTTGTCTGTTACTTGTTCGTTGGTGCACTTTATGCTTAATATTTTTCTTTTTAACTTTTTAATATTTAAAATTTTTTAACTTTATTCCCTTGTTTTATACTAACCCATTGCATTAGCATTTCATTCCACTTTATTTTATTACTTGTGCACTGTTGTCTTGTCTGTCTACTGTCGCGCACTAACCGCCAAGACAAATTCCTTGCATGTTTGACATATTTTGGCTAATAAATGTTTCCTGATTTAGTCAAACCACAACACACCAAAGCTTCTCGATGAGTACCTATGATGTATTTATGTATCACCATATGGGAGAGTATTAGTATTATTAGAGTCTGTGTCTTTAGATCACTTATGGTAGGTTTTAACAAAAGGTCAACACGTTGTGAGCAATCATGTAAGGCACCTGCACATTCCAGTCTACTGGATCACCGTCCTGAGTCACCTGTTTTAACAACACACGAGATGTCACCTTATATGTTGGTCTGATGCAAGACAAAGGGAGACTTTCAGAACTCACAAAATAAGTGGATAGTTCGCATTTGTTGACGTCAATCCGTAAACACGTCGCACCAGGATGCTAATCCGAAAAAATACCAAGTTAAAGGTGTAACACTGACAAGACGAGTATCAGTAACTGTTAACTGCTGGTGTTTACTAAATACAGGCTTTGAGGACGGTGGCTAGCTGACTGACATTAATAACTGTGTGCAGGTCTGCGGGACTCGACTCATCACGGGTTCGTTCAACTGTTGATGCCCAACGAACAGGGAACAACTGACACTCAACCGCTGCCACGAAGCTCGAGGCCTCCAGTTGGTCACAGTTACGGTGGAAACGAAAGGGGCCGTTAGCGGCTGCTAGCAGGCTAACTGTTCAATAACAGCCCGCTGCCTGCGCTAACTGGCTATTAGCTAGCACAGCTGTCTGTATAGCGCAGGACAGATATTTGAAACGTCGATGAATTTGGCAAATGTAATTAGGTTATGTACAAAAGCCCACAACCCCCGTTTGTACTGATATTGGCACACGGGTGACATCCCACGTTGAATTAATTCAATAAACGACTTGACTATCCTTACCTTACTTTGCTCGCATCTCACTGTTCTTGGTCTCCACCTCGACTAGGCTAGCTAACAAGCTAGCAACCAAGCTAGCTAACGTTAGCTAACCAGTTTTAGCTTGGCATACATAGAGCTAACGTTAGCTGAGGGAGCTACTTAGCTAACGTTAGTCTAGACTATACTAATAGAGAACCATAGCTGGCTACACCGACCCGTCATATTGCTGCAAACAGTAATTTGTAATTCAGCAAACACCCGCCGTGAAGGTGTCACACACGGACAAAGCCACTAGTTGCTTATCTCAGGTAACGTTAGCTAACTACGCTAACAGCACCCTCTCGGTCTGTTTTGTTGTTGTCATCTGCTGGTGGGCGGTCCGTGGACGATCCAGACAACTGGATCCCAATGAAAGCTAAGTTAGCAGTCATTTTGCAAGCAAGACTGATATAAAGTACTACTTTTATTCACGTTTAAGTTTAATTATTAACCGTTTGAGCTGGATCCATGTGCTGATGTTCAGTCCAAGCAACGTTATGTCACTATTTTAGTAGGTGAGATTTAAGATGAAAACTACAGACAACTAACGTTAACTTTTTTAAATGATGTTTTGAAAATGGTTATTTATAATTTCCTTATTTTTTCATTTTTATTTTAACGCACATTCGATCACGAAGAAATTGTTAAACTGTTCTGCCTCATTCAATGCCTTCATTAAGGCATCATGTAAACATCTTTTTTTTTCTTTTTTTTTTAAAGATGTTCCTTTATTTATTCACTTATTCTTTTGGTTGCTTAACGGAACTTCCAGTTTTAAATCAAGTCCTCATTAACAGTCTTTGTAAAGTGTTACATTTAGGGATAGCATCTGTCACGATCTAACCTACAGATGTGATGTGTTTTTATTCATAAAGTATTATTTCTCAATTATTTTTGTTGTTGAAGATGCGCACACGCTTTAAGTTAATCATTAACAAATAAAATTGTATAACCATTGAATAGGTTCAAAAGCTTCAGCTCCTAAAAAAGTACTGGACTTCCCATTCAGTATATTCCGTCGTCACTACTTTTCCAGGTGTATTCTGGGAAAATAACAGAAAAAAATGCTGTGCCGTGTTTTGCTGCAACATGAGAAGGGGTGTGGTTAGTGTGAGGCTGCAGTGTGTGGATGCTGCTTTTTTGCTGCAGGGATGAGAGAGTTTAGGTGTTGTCTCTCGCTCTGGTGGTATTTTATTTAACTAAAGCGTTTTATTTGTCTCATGTATTCTTTACTGGGCATTTTGGTTGTTGATTTAGAACACGCTGAAGAAAGGGAATAACTGGCAAAAAATAAATATTAGAAGAAAGACATCCTTTCTAAGTTAGAGCAACTGTTTTGTTTTGTTGCTTTTCTTAATCTATAACGCAGAGAAAGGGACATTAATGGAACCAGAAAATTTTGACATCAAACCAAAAACACATTTTTATTGCGCCTTCATTACAGCAGACCACAGGTTTCTGTCATTGTTGCATCCCAACTTGGATGCTTTTAAGAAAACCCAAATACCAATTGGATAAATAAGTCTCCAAATGTCTCGAAGTTGTGAGTGATTGAATCATTTATGTCATAAATCCACAATGTCGTGAGTGCTGAATTGAATGTGTTCTTGTGGGGAATGTAATCGCTACACATTCTAAATACGTATAAAATGCCTTCAAAAGAACAAATGTCTTCCACGTGAGGGGGATGATTAAAGCGATGCCCCTCCACTACCTGTGTGCAGAACAACCTTTCATTGAGAGGGCTCGTCCCGTGTTTGGCAAACTCTAAAATCCCAAATCTAACTTCACAAACGTGTATGTGAAGTTAGTATGTCACAATCTTGTCTCTTTATTTATTGTCATTTATTGTTTTAACAGAAAATTCAGTGGAGCAAATTAAGAAATCGTGTCTGTTCTGGGTTGATTTAGGGCTCCCAAACAGTGCGTGATGAGTGTGACTAAACACCAAAATGACCATAAGGGATTTTTATAACACCAAATAAAGACATGTTTAGTATAAAACACGGTAAATGGGTTTACAGGAATCCAAATCACAAAAAGAAGCACGTTAAGAAAGCGTTAACGTCATTGCAACAAGCAGATCTGTGCATCTGTAAGAGACACGGCAGGAGAACAGAAAGTGCTTTTGTAAATGTGTTGCTACTGAATGCGTCGTTTTTATCTCCTTTCGTCACGGAGTCCTGTAGTCTGTGAAATGTCCTCTCAGCTCATCGATGATCGCTTAGAACCGGGTGGTGAGTTGCAGTGAGTTCTGACTTTTTGCCATTACTGAAAATAAAGATGGAAGTGTATGGTTAGGGTGACCTTGTTAGAGGGCCTCGATAGAAAAGGGAATTAATAGCGACTCCTCAGCTACAGTTTCAGTCTGTTAGGCAAGTTTGCCCTGAGAAAAAAAACACATTATTGTACCTTATTAAGCAGTCCATGCCGTCTTTGCTCTCATACATGAATATTTGACACGTTCATGCTGTTAATAATCAGTCATTTCCTATAAATGTTCATCTTAAACCCTGTGTGAAAGACTGACAGGAAGTAAGGTACACAATTCATATTCAGGGTTTTGTTCATCCAGCCTTTGATCACCATGTTTAACAGAAGAAGATACAGAATTTCCATCTGTAGAACGCCGGTTTAATAAAAAGAAATCCAGTTAGTAATACGCTGTGTGAATGGGGTGACACTTTAGTTTGTTGATCCTGTTTTAAAATTTCCGATTTCAAGATGGACCTGACGCAGACGGGACATGAATGACGTGGTGTTTCCTACAGGGAGCGCCGTTTGACTCATGATCAATAATAATAATAATCTATTGTCACCGTGCAACAAACTCAGTTGCGTCATCCCCCCCCCCCCGTGGGTTCTGCTCAGAGATTCCCACTCACAGGGAATAAGAAGGAGCCAGATGAGAGGGCCGATAAGAGATGTGTGATTACGGGGAGCGCTGGCTTCATATAGAGGAGCCGCAGCTGCACGTTCATGCTGATTTATGCGTGTTCTCCCGTCAGCTGCATGTCGCTGCCTGTTTCATTCCCTGCGCACAAACACTTGAATCACAAGGATGACTAAGCTCAACTAGAAGGTATGGGAAGTCGTCAGAAGGTCATCGTAGCTCCTTCTTTGATTCAATCGCTGCATTTTATGCAACTGAACGGCTTTATTTTGTGATCGGTAGCAGTGCACGGCCATTGGCACTGACGCCGGCTCCACGACGTCTCCATCTGTGTGACCGGTGGGGTTTAGTGGGGCCTTCGTACGGACTCACGCGTGGGTTTTGTGCCACGAGGGTTTCAAATGAGGATCAATAATTCACAGAGGCTTCATAAGCGTCGGCTCGGCCTCATTTTGTCTCACTGGGTGTCGATGAAACTCGACTGCTTGGTTATTCAAGGAGAACTCCGGTGTCCCGGGGCGGCGCGCAGAAGCTCTCGCAGATCATTCGGAATGATTTATTTAATGAGTCAGTGGGGAGATATAATGCTCAGATAACTACTGCCATTTTTTAGTTCAGTGAAACAGACTTAAACAGACTTAAACGTAACCAATTTCAGATGATGACGATACAAAAAAAAACGATTTGAAGTGTTGATTTTAATTACACAGTCTTCATTCGTTCTTTCTGCTGGTGATTTGAGCTTTTACTTGTAAATTAAACACGAAGGAGCTACTTGGAAAACTCAACTCTCATCTGATCAAAAGTCAGATATCGTACATGTTGCGGCTGTGGGAATAAACGCTTTTACTCGTTGTTCTGCAGTCGAGTTGCTGTCATAACATGTTATCTCCGCCATTCGCCACCAAAAAGGGAGAGAGAGAGACCCTGCAGGCGCCGCTCGTGTCACATCCCTCATTACATAATACAGGACGGCACTGCCAACAGTATCACGTGCCAATGATCACTGAGAATTAACAGCATAATCCATGAAACAAGATGCAAGATAATCCCAAACCACAAGTAATTCCACAAGTCATTTTGAGATCCACCGAAATCAACTCGTGGCCTCCTGCTGCTTTCTATTTATCTGTAGAGATCACCGACAGGCCGCGATGGAGCGCAACCGGATTAGTGTGCTAATGTCTTTGCAAGGGTGGGGGCGGGGAGGGCTGTGGGTGGGGGGGGTTCCATATATGGTCAACAGATGGAGGCAGAAGGCTGAAGATGATGCGCACAGCGAGAGGTGTGCAGTACGTTGCAGAAGGGCTTCACCGTTACATAAAGAGAGCCGACTTCACATTCTGATGGTGTTTCGTACACAGCGACTCCTCCTGATAAGAAGCAGATAGAAACAGCTTTGCGTCGGAGACCTGTGGACATGTGGGTCTCCATGCGTCACATGCAGAAGCACACACACATAAAACATGTGTCATTCAAATTGAGGAAAACACAAATGATGATTAGAATTGTTCTCGCGAGTGAATCAATCATTGTGTGATATTTTGGCTCCTCGTCTCCACTGTCACAACAGGTTTGGTTGCATAATGAATTTGATAAAAAGGAAGAAGATAAACATTCAAAGGAAGAAAAACAGACGTCATACCACCGTAACCATTTGACTGGCATTAGGATCCGGCTGGCACTTTATTACGTTTTTAACAAAAATGTGTGAATAAAAAAAAGAAACCACAACGTTAACCTCGAGATTAAAGCTGCGTTTTCAAATACTGGAAAGAAGAAGAATAAAACTTGGTTATTGCACTCTGTAATATCAATATTTGAGAAATTAGCTTCCGAGCCTCAAGCTGCCCGAAGGGCTCAGAAGCTTTAATACTTTTTTTATCCGCTGATTTTTATTTAAAACACTTTTATTGCATAAAACCTTTCCATAGTTGTTTCCACATGAGAACAATTCCAACACTGTACGCAACGTTACAGACACACAATCACATGCTTTTTGTGTCTTTGGCTGACTGGGCCCTGAACAGCTGTTGTTGTAATGCGCATTCAGACCAGCAGGCGGCGCCGTGTCGTCATATATGTGTGCACATGTATTAATATGAGGCCTTCTTAATAAACATGCGGAGATATCTGATGATGCGTCTAATGTGACACCCGGGTACGTGGATCACTGCCTTCGTGCTTTAATGAATGGAAACTTGTCTCTCTCTCGCGCGCGCGTCCGTGCGTGTGTGTGTGTGTGCGTGTGTGTGTGTGTGTGTGTTAAAGTGACGACACTGCGGAAGCTGTAGCTAAACACAAACACTTAGTTAGTATTTCATTTGTTAAGAGGATTCGTCATTATTGCCACAAAAGACAATGTCGCGCGTGTCCGCGCGCATCCACGCGCGCGCGTCCACGAGAAAGAGCCCGATTGTGATAGAATTGTCTTTTTGTGTTTAACAACAGCGGGTGTCGCTCCAAATTAAATTGTTGTGTGTATCTACGTGTGTTTTCCTGCAGCAGCCGGGTTTTTTTTGTTCTTTTTGTTCGGTTGCGTAACTGTCAGGTAGGTTATTATAATGATGTGCACGTTGCGACCCCCCCCACACACACACACACACACACCCCCTTCCGCCCAATCCAATCACACCCTCCCCCATCCCAGGCAGAATTACGTGTAGGGTGACGTTGGAGCATGCGGAGGAGGGCGCTGGGCAGCACCACTTGGACCGGAGAGGACCGAGCGCGTTTCATTCCGGCAGCAAGGACGCATCGGAGGGACCGAGGGCGCCGAGCCGAAGCCCGCTGAAGCCCGTCGTCTCCTTCCACGCGGCGGCCGAGGAAAACGGGTCCGGCCCACCGGGGAGTGTCCGAGTGGCTTTGTGCGGGGTCGTGAGCCTTCAGAGAGACAGGAGGGGGGGAGAGAAAAGAGAGAGACAGACAGGAGGGCCGCGGACCGACCAGGCCAATAACGGATAATGAATCACGGTCCAGTCGTCGCGTCGCATCTGGCGAGCCGCCGTTGACGCGCCGATCGGTCGCGTTCTTCTTTCTTCTGTCTTCGCCGCGTCAGTTCGCGCGGACTTCTTTTGTTCGCCCCGAATCCCGAATTCTACTCCGTTTCATTTGTTTTGCCGCTGTGAGAGAAGAAGAGGGAGAAGAAAAAAGAAGAAGAAGTTTCCTTTTTTCCCCCAGCGACCCCCCCCCCCCCCCCAACCTCACCCCCTCCCCCCCGAAGAAGGCAAAAAGGAAGGGAGATGAATTTCCAGTCGGGCGTCCCGGGCTCAGGTCTCTCGCAGCAGTCTCAGCCGGCCATGCCGACCCCAGGAACCGTGCCGGCGCAGGTCCCCGTCCCGGTGCCCCAGTCCATCCCGTCCCAGTTCGGATCCGGATCGTCCGCCAGCTCGGGCGCCGGGCAGTTCGGTTCGGGCACCGTCTCGGGCCAGGCTGCCCAGCCGGGCTCCGCGGGCTCGCAGTTCGTTTTGTCCAACTCGGCCGCCATCCGGGCGGAGATCCACCGGTTCGAGTCCGTCCACCCGAACATCTACGCCATCTACGACCTGATCGAGCGCATCGACGACCTGGCCCTGCAGAACCAGATCCGAGAGCACGTGATCTCCATTGAAGGTGAGCGGCGTTGGGGGGAACCACGCTGGGGTCTTTGGTGCTGCCCATTCATTGAGGAGGTGGGTGGGGGGGGGGATGGGAGTCTCTCTTTCCTTCCTTAAACGTACACACTGTTATGGTCACATAGTGTCAACAATCACACTTTGAGGTTGGAGGTTGGGGGCGTGGCCGAGTCCCCCCCCCCCCACACACACACACACACACACACACACTGCAGTGTCCTCCTGTGAGGGCCCACAGTCCTGAAGGGATCACTTTGTGTTGAGCAGCCCATCCAGGGCCGCCGCTCAGTCACGTGTTGCATGACACTAATGGACAACGGGCGAGACAAACGTCTCGGGGGGACATCGTCTGTGAGTCCGAGTGTAACCCGCTGACGCCGGCGGGACGAGAGTGGCTCTAAATCCAGCTACAACAAGCCTTTTAAAATCAGTTCCTCCCCGTTCCTTCATCCAGGAAGTGTTACTTAATATTTCATATTTCTAGAATCCGTCCAGCAAATTTCTCGCGTTTTCCGTACCTTCGGGGACCGACCTCGTCGGTGAAAATGAATCCTCGTGCGCTCTTTGGGATTGTTGCGTAATCTTTCCAGTGAAGGCGTGTCTTGATGGGACAACACAGCAGCCTTTCATTGCTTATCTCATAAAAACATAACGCTGTTGGCTTGTGCTATTCCCAAATTATTCTTAATGCAAGTACTAGTTAGGATTTTAATTCAACACATCATTTTCTTTCCCAGAATGCCTTGCAACGACCCCCCTCCCGGGTGTGTAGTTAGTACGAGTGAGCCAGGACCACGTCTTAATGTCACTGCACCTGGTTGTTCTCATAACAGGACACATGGACCGCGTTAGCGTCTGCCGGAGCAGAAAGGCGTCTTTGTGGGACGTTTCGCTCACCGTTCCATTGGCTCAAAGGCTTCTGGGGCGCCGCATGATAAATGTGGCGCGTGGGGGGGACAGATGTGCTGTGTTTGGTCAGGTATCCCCGCGAACGCAGAGGCCCCGACGTGTCGTAGCGGCTGCATGGTGCACACGCTCATACGAAGCGTCACGCTGGCAAATGTTTAACCCCAAAAGCGACAAAGCGGCAGCAGGAATATCCGCCATGCTCCCTCTTGCTGTTTATTCATGGGTCTTTTGAGCACACTGTTAACCTGCTTGGGGTCACCTTTGACGCTGAGTGTATGAAGAATGTTGTTAACTTGATATTTCTAAGCGAATATCAGCCGGCTCAAGAGGGTTTGATGTCCCCGCAAAAAAAAAAAAAATAGCCCGGCCGCACCAGCTTTGAAGTACATACTGGTGCTTTTTTCTTCTTCTTCGCGCTTTTAAATGAGCCGCAGTCGCCTTAATCACTGTGCCGCCAAGAGGCTTTGAAGAGCTGCAACAGGCCGACTCGTGTTCACCTGCAGCGCTGCTCCTCTTCAATGTTGCATCATTTCAGAGTCTGTTGCTAAGGAACCGGTGGCTCATGCATTTAGCTGAAAACGCCAAAGAACGCAGTGAATATAAATCCCAATCAGCATTATTACTACGCTTTCCCTGTGGTTTTGTTGAATAATGAGACCTTTTATACGATGGTGCAGAGTCCTTCGGACTTTTCCTCTGCACTGACGGGTATTCAAGGTCTTAATTAAAAACTAGACAGGCGTTTATTTGGTGATAAACTGGAAATGTAAATAATAAAAAGAAGTGCTCAGTGGTTGGCAAGTGGATTCACCGTTGAAGAGGATTTGTTAATATTCCCAGTAGCTTGGATAAGCAGCATCTGTATCAGGCCCCCCCCCGGGATGGGCGATGGGGGGTAAAATGACCCCCACATAAGCTCCGACTTGCCACCGGGTGCAGTTCACAGGAAGCACCGAAACATGGCGGCTTTTAGCATATTCGGCACGGAGGTCCTGAAAACAACCAGCGCTCCCGTCGTAGAGCAACAACGAACGGACAACCGGGCCCGTCAGCGGGTCGAGGGCCGAAACAGGGCCGACGACGTGGGACCCGAACGACTGGGAACCGTCGCTGCCACGATGCTAAAAAGGACTCCGAAATCCCCGGGATCAGATGGCCGGCCTGCCGGAGACCAGAGCCGTCGCTCCATCGATCAGACAGCCGCTCGGCCTCATCCGTCAAATGCTTTTAGCCGCCTGGACGGCGACTTTATTCTGGGGATCGTTTTTACGTCTGGGCTTCTACCCAACTGCGTCCCGTACAGACAGATTGACTTACACCAGCTACAAGATGAGCAAAGATGGAATTAATAATAATATGCAGGATTAACCAATGCATGCATCATAAAAAGAATAAAGGTGTACAGTGTATTCTGTTTAATTTTGCCACGGCAATGATTCCGATCTCCGTGCCTCGTCATGCAGTGACGCTGACGACGCAGCAGAAAGGGACGTTGACCATCTGATTTATTTCGCCGTACACACGAGAAGTGAGGCTTGCAGCACAGCAGCGGCCCTCCGACGTATGCGGCCAAACTTCAACCGGCGAGCTGCTGAGTCACACGCCGTGGGAGGAAAAACAAGGCCGCGCATAAGAAGAGGAAAGGCCGTTCATGCACATCACAAGTGGTGCTCTGCCTGCTCTGAAACAGTCGGCATAATGAATTGTTGGAAATAGCGAGCACATTCCGATTTATTCAGCAGAACAAGCTAATATTAAATGTGTTGTTTTAATGAGGCTTTGGCTGGATATGTGAAGGGTTTTTGTTTGAAGGGGATGAATGCATGAGCGGATGTAAATAGAAGAAAGTCCGCTGCGATGTGGGGACAGATGTGCTTTAGCTATTTGTCTCAACGTGAAGGAGCGCTTCATTTAACCGTGTCCCAGGAATAGTTTTGCAGAAGCAGTTCTGATTGTCTCCGTGGTTCATGTCATCAAAGGTCAATGAAACACACCTTCTACCAGCCAAACGTGTGTTTATTCCCCTTTTAGAGGGTTTCCCCGTCACCTGTTGTCAGTGTTATGATGTCGCTCGCCGACAGAGAGTTCAATGTCAGAGGAAGGGCAGCCGCCCAAACGCACTGCTGCTCAAGAGGGGTGCTTGGGATTTCACGACAGGAGAGACGCAACGGGACATTGTGCCGACACTGGCTGGACGCTCGCGGCTCTCTGTGCGTCTCTCCTGCCGTCCGTCGGCGAGGAGGGCGAAGCCGAGTGCTCGTCCCACTGCGAGGATGATGATGATGCATCTCTACATCGCCGCGGCGTGATACTCTGCCGTCATGACGCTGCAGAAGGTCGCCTGTGATCCGCTTTTTGGTTTGATTTCAACGCTCAATATTTAATATTCATTCATTAATTGTGAAATTACGGGGCGAGTTTTAGGAGTTTTTGAGCGGCACCCGACGTGTGCGTCCGGGTGTGTGTGTTTTTGTTTTGAGGAACTGGTCTTCCCGCTTCTTCTGAGGGCCATCGATGTTGGGGGGGGGGGGGGGAATGCCGCGGCTACTTCTGGCAAGTGCCGACTCCACAATGTGCTCATTATATTTCAAAGCCCTGTCTGTGAATATGGATTAGAAACTGTTATAGAGTTAGAGATGTCAGTCAATACCGCCAGCTGTGCCGTTTACGCGCCGCGTCAATATGAGTTGCTGTTAATGTGGAATGCTGGTGTTTATAGAGCAGCTCGGTAAGTATTTACTAGTTGTAGATCGTGTGCCCAAATAAAGCCGTACATAAATACATCTGTGAGGCGTCCAACTGGGGCCTGTTCTTTATTCACTTAGTCTCCTCGCTGAGTCACAGAGCAAGCAGAGATTTATCTGTGACACGTCTGAAGGACGAGTTAAAGCATCTTCCTTGGGAGGGGGGGGGGGGGGCACACGGGGACGTCCACCCCCGAGGCTTCTCCTGCCTGGAGCCCCCCCAGCAGGGACGGAGCGCCGCACTTGCGTTTATAAATGTCCTTCGGATTGGGTTTTTTTTATACAAGTTAGGGAGCTTATTAGTAAATGACAATCCACACTGTCACGGCAGTACTTCAGAACAAAAAGGCTTGTGTGGGAGAACATGCAAAACGCTGGATGACTTTTTATTTTGAAACGCGAGAAAGGGAGTAAAATGACGACAAGTGCAGATCGTTGATCCGGAGAACAGAGGGTTAGTTTCCTGAATGTTCTCCCTCCTTAACGTGATGCTGAAATGGTGGTACGAGTACCTAAGATGGAGTTGAAGTGACCTATTAATATAATATAGTAAATAAAACAACCACAGATCGCTCGGCAGAAACCCACTTGAGGATCCACACGCAGCTCCTTGGTCACCTTGCTGGAGCGGCCATGGATGACGGCGTAAGCTCCTTTTTGATTCCCCACCCGTGGGAAGATGTTCACAGACCCCCCCGCAGACCGAAGCGCCCGCGGCGAGTCCCGGGCCCCGTTTTAATCCCCCCGAGCCGGCGCTGAAAGGAATACTTGCCATCGGCGTTGACGTCACACGTTTATTTTGGGGAGCGCTGTAGTGACAGACTTCACCCCCCCCCCCCCGAGCAGATGCTCGCCAGATAGCGGCGTCGCCACACGCCTGCTGCCCAAACAGCG